TCACTGCTGATGCAGTTAAGCCGAGGAAAAAGTAAATCTACTCAAAACTGAGGCGTTTTTCTTCAGGACCACTCGATTTACCTCACAGTTTCTCCATAGATAAAAAATTTAGGCGTGCTAAAAAAATATTCATTTCAAGATAAATAAGAACGTGAGAATACACGTCAATCATTCAGGCAAATGCAGAAACATAAATATAAACTGTGATGGACAATGAAGTTTACCCTAAAGCGAAGCTTCATATCTGCTCATGCAGATGTGGTCAAAAATATTGGTTATTAAGCATGAAAAATTTCCAACCAATATGCATACAATGGCAGTAAATTGTTCTTGTGTAGCAAGACTCGATGACTCAATGATTGAAGTGTGGCAGTCCGCGATGCCAGTTTGTACGCTCCTCTTTATCATAACCGAAGGGTTAAGACTGCGATTATTCAGAAAGATGATCAGAGTGATAGAGAAGAATTTGTAAGGCAAATGTCCTTTCGAAACTACATCGACTCGGTCAAGTGACAGATCAGGGATGGATGGTTTGCTTGTATGGCGTACCATGCCTTCAAATTCATCGGATTACGGGTGTTTCGGCAGATCGACGTTGTCAGGGGTTGCTATGGTCGTCACTGTTGCTGAATCGTTCAAGTCGACACTCATTTTGGTAGAAATTTGACTAGAGCAAACGCTTTATATTTTCAAATGTCCGTTTCCTGGCGTGGGTTGCAAAGATACCTGAAAACTGTGAAAGCAAATTTTATTACATCTCGACAATGTATTATTTTTGTATTAATCTACTTTTCCAATTCTGGTTATAAAGCATAGCTATATCCGCTGATACCATGATCCTGTCACAAAAACGTAGGCGACAACTATGCAGACATGTCAATTATTAATATTCATGCGTTATTTAATAACAGCCCCCCCCCGCCGGTATCAAGTGTCCATTTAAATCGACAGTACCATAATTATGCATGAGTATGTTTTTCTATTTTATATCACGATTTAGGCGAGTGAGAGCCTGCCATGAGCAATTCTCAGCGATATGGCCAGCAATGATTTTGGAACCATCGAGTAATTTGCTATCTTGCGTCATTTTGTTTCCTTGTGCCTCGATTAACAGCCAAAAGTGGTTCAACTGCAGCTTCGAAGTACCCCACTTCTCGGTTCTTCTTGTGATCCGGATGAAAATGTGAGCCATAACCAAACCATGTATTTTTATGCACAGTTGTTAGCACTTTACAGCGTTAATGTTGACCTTGGATGAACAAAGGCCTGCCGAGAATTCCTTTGGTCTTTCAGGCAGAAAATAAGGGCTATCAATTGAGTGCGAACTATTTGAATCTGATCATCGGAGAGTTTCGACGTGAAACTTTCTGGCATATCAATTTGCTGTCCTCTAATTCCAACGAAAAGGAACAGATACATCAGTGGGGACGAATTCCTTCAATACATAACGCTGTTTGCTGTAAATGGGAAATTTCTTTTATACGCCGCAGCATGTCACATATGCCATATATTATTTACTATTTCTTTTGACTCGATATTGCCTCTCGTCCTTACTCCTTCCAGAGGGCCATCCAAACATGTCATGGTATTTCAGCGCCTCGGTACAGTGAGCCTATTCTCATCATTTTTTATACGAAAGTTATATAGGGATTATCGTTTTCAATGTTCGATAGCTGACACTCCTCATATGCTATCCCACAAATATAAATTCGCTGATGTATGCTAAATGGCGAATAACTCCTCCAAGAGTAGATTCGAATTCGAACGACAACGAAATCGTCAAATGTGAAAAGCGACTTTGGTATTTAGTAATTTGTCACTCAGTTTCGATGATTGTTTATACTTTCGGGACACCGAACCAGCAGCGTTAACCAGCGTTTCCGACGTTCACAATCCTGCACCAGCACTGTTGCTTCATCAGGGCTGAACCTGAGAATCGCTCGAGTTACATGCTTTATAAGCGAGACATATATCTTAATACGATTAGTTGAATCTGCTGCTATAAATCATAATTTTGACCTGTAAAAATATATTACTCAAATAGAATAGTATGATGGACGTTAAAGAAATCCACTTCTGTTATAACCTCAAATTGGATTCTTATACTGTAACCCTAGCTGTTTTCGATATCATTAATGAACGCGGTTTCGGCCGCGAACACCAATCTGTTTTCACTGGGTTTAGGTTACAGGAGAGAGCTGATAGGTCAAAAAATGAACCCCAACTAATGTTAAACATGTGAGTTCAACATAGCTATGTACGCACTTGGCAGTGATATACGCTCCTTCACTTCAACGAACGAATAAACAGCATATGACAGGATTAATTCAATGATCTCGACTGTCACCGGCATCAT